CGTTAATTTCTAGGATGCCCCATAAATCTGTGCAGAGCCCACGTGGTCGCATCTCAGCAATAGGCTGACCGAATGGTATACGTTTGAAGGTAGAAGCATGATCTGTCTAGGCGATCATTATTATCTTTTTCAAGATAAAGATTCAAGCCCTCATAGAAATCTCGAGCCGTAAGTCAAGTGTTTCTTATCTTGGCATTAGTTTCTCTTCTAACCTTTGCTGGTCGTCTCATATTCTTATAGTTTCTAAAAAGATTTTCTGTCTGACTTATTACATAAAGAAGTTGGGGCACTCAGGTATAACCCAACCTCTTCCCATACAATTTATTAATTCGTGTGTTTTTTCATCATTCTTTATTGTTCTCCATTATTCTTCCCTGGGCTACTCAAGAAAGATAATATAATACTACGAAGAACATTGAAGGCTGGAAGTAGGGTCAGTGCTATCCCTTTGACTCAACTAACCGACACTGGTGTCAATAGGCATATGAATTCTTGTAAACACTTGGCTAAAGTTATCTTGTCTGATAGTGAACATCCTCTTTATTTAAAATTGTTTCCTTGTATCTCTTCGGGTAAGACCAGAAGAAATTTCATAAGCATTTAAGGTCGTACGACAAAATATAAAAATTCGACCGCACCATATTTGGCACGAGTATTGTGTGAAGAGACAAATATCAGAAAAGAACTTTTACAACTTTTAAATCATTAACTAAACTATAAAATGTAATGATGCATATTAATAATAATAATGATTTACTTTATTCCAAAAACAGTACTTGTGATACATAATGGAAATTTTCAGCATTAATCACAATATTGCATCTGATTTCCTCAAATTATAATAAAATTATTCACACAGAAAATTTGTCTACATTTACAATAGGGTTAATATGAAAAAATAAAAACATGCAGCATATAAAATGGAAATAATAATAATGATAGCAGCTAAGGTAATGATAATAATACAAGTAGAAATTGCCGTGGGCTTGTCGCACACAGTATTGTCGATGCGGTATACAAATCTTTGCATGATTAAAAATATTGAATATGATGTTCTCTTTACATGATATGGTGATGGAAAAAAAGATTACAGCAATCATAGAGATAAGTTGGTGTTTGCAGTTATGAAATTGAAAACAAATAATCAGCAGGACCATAAATATAATAGAAATAATAAAAGTAAAACTTGAAGGTATGTAAAAATGGATGGAGGAGATTGTTTATTTTATAGATGAAAAAAGGTTAGTCAATTCTTGCCTGACGCTATTTTCATCACATAAAATACTTGCCTAGTATGGTATCATAGAAATTTTATACTTAGACGCGCGAGAATGCAGTTTTCTGAAGTTACTTCTTGTTCTACCTGAGGAGATGCAAGGTGAAAGCTGAGGGTGAAGTGGATGCTCCAAGTCGGACAAAATCCCTTTAGCAAATTTACTGCACGAAGTCAAATGCCTATCGACAACGACGTTAACTATGTAGTCCACTGAGACACCACTCATCCAACTGACAGTCTTCAGCATTCTACGAATTGTGACAAAGTCCTTTTTAAGCAAACCAGGAAAGAATAAGGGTGAACAATAAAGAAGAATAGGTAGGATGCAAGAGGTTATGAACTGTAAGAGGATGGGTTGAGTTACACCCGAGTGCCTTAACTTCTTAATGCAAAATGTCAGGCGGAATATTTAACTGGAGATCGCTGAGACATGGGAAGACCAGGAAAGATCAAAAGAGAGAATAAGTCCAAGATACTTAATTTCTGATTTTATTCCTATATCATTGTCATCAATCTTACAACTGTCATGAGAACCGACGGCTTCTTTTAACTGTCGTTTACATCTTAAGCTGACATTAACAGTTTGACATTTAGAAGGATTCAGTTATATCTGTAATTTGTTATATTATTTATTTATTATTCACTATGACCTAGCAATGGTGTGATTTTGTCGGGGTTTAAATTTTCCTATTAACTATCAATATTTTAACATTTTATACATTTATATAATTATAAACAGAGCTAAACCATTGCAACATGTAAAAGAAACGCTGAAAGTTCCATGCTGTAGATTGTTATTGTTGTGGAATAAAGTGATTATTATTATTTAATAGTCTTGAATTTAGTGGCAGTAGCCAAAAGATCTTCGGCCTTCTTAAATCGTTCAGCTATTATGTAGCTTTTGAACCTAAAGAGTATAGGACAAGGATGCATTAGGTCTTTTTTACTCAGGCGAATGCACTGACAAGGTGCACTTAAGAGATTTGCAGCCTTCAGCAATGGGTAGTGGACCGACTTTATGTGCTCGCTATCTGGTACATTATACACTATAGCGTTTTGTTTCGAAGCCAGCCTTTTAACACCTTCGCTGGATAGAAAGTCAATGGCGTTTTCTAATTCCTTCGCATTTTTTCAGTCAGTATGCATCATTCTACAAGTCATATTAAAAAGCTTTAGGATTTTAGGATCCTGCAGTTCCTTTTTCATAAGTGAGGTAGTTTCGGGTATACATCCTAGTGAACTTCATTTCGTTTTTAATTCAGCTATCTGTAGCTGCATTTCTTTCATTATGCATGTTAAGTAAGAGAGCTCTACGTTTTCAGACAGAACATCTTCCACCTGTATTACAGGGGTCAGAGATATGTTCGAGTCTTTTATGTTGGATGAACTACTAATAATAAGGGGTGGTAATGTGTTATTAGACGAGATGGTACTATTTTCTAGATTACTGGTGTTCACACGAACACGCTTTTTGAAATTTCGGCCCATCGTTATTAAAGATCAATCAACAGTAAGCAATAAATGTATATAAACGAAACCACGTGCAAAAGCGTCACCTGATTTGAACGCTGAATTCGCTTCCTGTATTATCTGCTCCCAGTTTGTCTTGCATTCATGTCGCCCATGAGGATTTTGATATCGCCATTTGGGATGTTGTCCATTACTGTTTGTAGTTGTCCGTAAAATTCTTCCTTCTTCTCTTGTTTCGCGTTGCTTGTAGCACTGTGCGTAGCATTGGATGATTGTGACCTGCCTTCCTGCCTTTTGAGTTGAATCTCGCTGTCATAGTCCTGAAGAAGTAGATTGGTTCCCACTGCATTAGGGTTTTGGCTGTCACTGGCAACATCATGTTAACCACTCACTGCCTTCAGTGTGCTCATGGTTGTCGTCTAGGTGACCACACCGGAGTAGATTACTGACTCTCCAGTTGACAATTTCGATAGTCCACATCCATTCCATCTGCTCTCGCAGATTCCCAGCACTTCTATGCCATATCTTCGCAGTTCTTTGGCTACCTGGGAAGCCTTCTCAGTCTCGTACATAATACATACATTCTATCTACCTGTTCTTATTCTTGCTTTCATCGAGAGAAGACACATCGACTGGCTTCCCGAAGGCCTTCACCAGCCCGCATCATTTTGCCTCTCCGATTCGAGCGAAGAATAAGATTAGTATTTGAATTTTTGTATTTTTAATATATTTGTTGTTCGTTGAGGTTTCTGCTGCAGTTTGAGTGGTTTTGTGGTGTAGAGTCGCTAGCCCTACACCCAACCATCCCTCTTTATCCGGTGTTGAGACCGACTAGCGAGGTTGTAAACTAGGCCAGGCCCTCAAACTATTAGCAGGCGTCTGTTAGAATACTTTTAGATCCTTCCCGTTAATACTTGGATGGAGGTATTTTACCGAATGCCTTGTACTTGTTTCACAAGACATTTTCTGATATAATTGTAATTTATCTCCAATGTTTATTCAATGTTAACATTAGTGGATCTATTACTGTAGAACTTGGAGAAGAATTTATTGATAACAGTTGTTTTGTCTAATTATTTTTGTTCTGAATAAATTGTGGGGCTGTTTGAGTTACAGTTTTGATCACTTTTTTAATTTCCTGAATTTGTAGCAATACATTTCATTGCGAAGGGTTGATTCAATTGTGACTTAAAATCATTTTAATGCTCATTTACAATTATTTAGAATTTGTATTGCACGGACATGATTGTTTTTGACGTGTTTTCTTTTTCACGTGATGGCTTATAGAAAACTACCTTTTATTTCAAAGTAAGTTTAATACCCTCTTTTCGAAGATTTTATCTCGTGAACCTTGAGAAACATTTCGCTATCACATGTTGGTTAGATTTTTCACAAGTGTTGGTTTTATGACTGTCATATTTTGAGTTTACTTTAAATAAATGTGCACATTAAAAGTTTTCAGTTCAAAGATGTTAATGTGTCTGTATTTTGAGTGACTATAAACCACGAAACAGATAAATATATCTGACGAATCGCTAGCGATTTATTTTTGAAGGAAATCTTTCGTAACAATCTATTGTTCTACGATAAACACGTTTGTCATCTTATCCCAGAAAACGGGCTGATGTTGTCTAAGCAGTAATTCATACAGCATTAAAAATTCTGTCATGATGAAAACAAAAATCATGGTTTAACCACTACTAACTCATTATTTAGTTGAAACAGTACCTTCGTTGGTTCATTCACATCTTTTGTATCAGGTTCGCCACTACTTTTCTAATAAACTTATAACTTGATCGTGTGTAGCCTAAAGTCATTTGACATAAAAACTTCGAATTCAACCAATTGTTTTTGGTTCTAATCACGTATTTCGTTTTTATGAGTATAATAACTTCTTTGATCCCACAGGATTCATACTGTGCAAACTATTATAAAAACCTTTATGTTACTATTGTTTATATTTATATATGAGAAATCCATAAATTCTTATGAAATGATATTTCACCTCATACAATCGATCAAATGACTGAATAAATAATAAGGTCATCCTAAAACGTGACACGTGAACAAAATCATTTGACTCTCTTTCATTGGTTGAGGATTCTTTTGCCTATAGTTTGTTCAAAAATTTATACATAAGACAGGCTTGGAAAAGTGATTTTTCTAATAAGTGAACTTATATTCTTCTTTTTCGCATAGTTCAACATTTATTCTTTACCATAGTATATCTTATGAATGAACATCTTTATGAATAATGAATTTAAAATCCAATGTTGATATTAACTACAATAATACTGACGACGATAACAAGTCAAAGTTTTTAGAAACTATGAAATCTATTATAAAGAAAGATGATGCAGACCAGTTATTGAATATACTAACAGATCGTAGATGGGATATTAATACAACTAATATAAGTACTAATGAGGAAGATAAAATTAATCCTATGGAAAAACAGTCTCATTCCAGTCATATACTCTTAAAAAATGAAGATAAAGCAAACTTACTACATGTAAGCTCGATTTTATTTATTTTTAACAGACACATTTGTATTATCTATTTACTAAAGAATGTGTGTCGGTGGTTCAGCGGTAGAACGCTCACCAACCGTGCACGTGGTCTGGGTATCGATCCTCAACCGACGCGCTCCTAAACCTCACTTAGCTGTTCATAAGCCTGGTAAAGAGGGAAGGTTAGGCGTGAGGCTAGCAACCACACCCCGTAAAAATAAAAACCAGTGCTACCCAAACTTCATAGCTCTAGCCCGAAGCCATATGTTCCACTGGGAACGGAAAGGAATAAAATAAAATAATAATAAATTTATTAAAGAGTACTTTCGAACCTTTTCACGAAGTTTAACTTACCTTTTTCCATTTCATAACAGTTTGCATAATGACTTCGCATTCATTGAATAGCTCTTTAAAGTTACACAAAGAAATGACCTGGCCTCCCTGCTCTATAAAGTGTTTCTCACTTGAAAATGTAGTCTGTAATAAAAAAGTGAATTACCTGAGATAAGAGATGCAAAAATCGCCTTATTTGTGTAAGTATTTGCATGCACTTGTGGTAAGAAGTAAAATCACTTCAATAATCATTCCTTTATGAATTTTGAAAATAAGGAAGATCAGACAACTGGAATTTTTCGCTCATATTAATGTCCACTACACAGAACTTTGGAAATCGAGATCATTCGAGTAACTCACTTTTAAAGCTCATTTGGCAGACTGTCATGCGGATAATCACGATAGTGATGGACTGAATTCCAACGTAACTGCTGTTGTAGTTTTAACTTCAGTGATCACTTAATTACTTCGAAAAGTGTGAGTACTTCTTATGATGGTTTCAGATATATGATTTCCTTGGGGTGATAAGAATGTTACTAAAGGTTATTTTTTATAAAGTATGGATACGATTATTTAAGGCCGATCTAACACTTACCAGTGTTTTCAATCAATGGCAGTGATAAGATATTTTCTAGTATATCAAGATTTGGGTGTTGTGGTATAGTGGTCTACTTTATAATACTATTCATCTGTGAAGCATAACCCTTGAAAGTGGATATAAGGTGTTCAGAAGTTTCTTATTATGAGTGCTTCCTTAATATTGATTAAGTCTGACATGATCACAGACAGTCAAATATCCAGTGTTGAACAAGCAGAACAAGTCAAACGATGGAGCTATGAATATGAATACCCATCGTCTAAATTTCATTATTTTTTCTAATCTTACTTTCTTCTTAATGTAGTAGTACATAAGCACCTGTCTCATATTTATCTTTTGTGTTCTATTTCCCGCCTTTTTTGCAAGATTCTAAGAATGTGGATAAATGGTTGTAAATGCACATGAATTAAGCTCATTTAAATTAAGTACTTAATAACTATATCTTCCTTATTATTGCTTTCATAATAGTCACTTTTGATTTGTTCTGCTTTTATTCCTATGTGCTTTAACAAATTTCGTATTTGTTATGGCAAAGGCATTGATCTCTGTGCTTACCAAACTATACTTTTATTATACCTTAATTCTGTTCACTTTACTTATGCCAGTCTTCGTTTAACAGAAAGTAGTAATCATAACCAATCAATGTTTACTATTAGTCATTTGGTATTTGCTGATTACAAGTAGCTAACTAGGAAGAAAATGTTTTTGATTTTTGCTGTTTTCAGAAGACGTCTGCTTATCGTTAGACTATGATGTGTACCGTCGGTTTCTAGGATGACATTTGAATTAACTAAAATTTTTGAAACGGTTTTGGCATCAAGCTCTGATGGCTGTTTCATTTTCGCTGATATTAATGTGATATTTGATATAACTGGTGATTTTATAACTTTTAAGTACGTTCACATTTCCTATTATACTGAACTTACTTAATAAACTTTTTGAATGTTTTATCTGTTAGGATCTTTTTCTTCCATGTACATTACACTTCATGTAACACACCGAAGTTTTTATTTGCATCTGCCACTCTGAATGTTCTAGTAGTTATTCGTTTTTTAATTTTTATGTAACTCGGTTTTCTAATTTCAAATCGAGAATCATTCTGATTAAGTGATATCAGTCATTGAACTCTGAATCGGTACGTAGTCTTGATTGTTTGAGCATCTCTGGATTACAACAGTAACTGTTTGATTTTCCGCTTCAAAAATCTATAAGGTTCTGATTGATCTCACACTATTTTTCAAGAGAATCCAAGATCCGCTAGAGTGTTGTTCTGAACAAGTCACTAACTTATAGAAGTAAGCATTTGTGATTCTATCTGTAACTCAGCCTACAAATGATACATGGGTCTTGGAATGATACCCAACTTTTGTCAATGAGTGCTATGGAGCATCAGTTAAACAAGTAAGCTTTTTAACTATAGAAGGAATCACTATTGTTTTGCCTTCACCAAACGTTTCATAACAGTTTTAGTGACCAGTGTTTTTTAAAGATTATTCATACTTTATGAAATAGAAAATAAATCAAGAATTATGAATTAATCTGGCTATCAGTACCTAAGTCGTGTTGAATACTTACCTTCCAACTTTCTAATGTAGCCACAATGCTAGTTTATTTGACATTATGGCTAGCCTTACACTCAACCCTCCGTCTTTACCCAAGTGATCCGCTTGAAATCTGGGATGCTAGTGAACTATTCGAGTTTAGTTTGCAATGTAGAGCAACATAAGGCAAGTGGGTTTTCTCTGCACATGGAAATTACGTAGAAAATATTTACAGTTTTTTTGTATGAAGACAGCAGTCATGAATTAGATGGATTAATGCATTTTTCAGCGTATTTACTGACAGGGATTATCATGATTTTGAAGACTATCTGGGGGCGAATTCATTATATATTTATATTCATGCTGTATCACAACATATCAGCTGTCTGTAATCTGATAAGAGGCATATTTATTTTTATACTCACATATTGATAAGAAACCTTACATTTTGGGTAGATATTTGAACCAGCAGCAATAGCGGCAACCAACAAATGCACTGAAAACAGCGGCTGTCTTAACATAAACATGTTCATCTACATAGTTTCTAAACAAGCACAGTGTTATTCCGTCAACAGCTGAAAAATAACTAAAATGCTTTCACGGTGCATGAAAGCGACATATGAAACATTTACAATAAAGTTAATGAACTGACCTGGTGGTAAAAACTATAGAAGCGAACGAAGTAACTAATTTAAGCGGCAAAGGAAACCAAAATGGTGTGAAACTCATCAATAATTATTAATCTTCTTTGAGATAAGTTGCGGATAACTGAAGTGCAAACTTAAAGACTAGTGTATGAACGGATGTTTAGCAGACACTAATACAACATCGCTGACTAACACGAAAGAAAATGACCTTCAAGTGTCGTATGCATCCAATGATTTTAATCATGCGGGATAATTTCGCTTCAGTACAATCGGCTGAAATTTTCTGTCACGTCCATGGTCATTGGTGGAGTGAGACGCTCAAAGGTCATTTTCGTCCATGTTAGTCAGCCATGTTGTCTGCAGTTCCGTAGCCATTCGTTTACACATTAGGTTTTATGTTTATTCTGCAATTACTCACAACTTATCTTGATACGTATAGTTCCTAAATGTTGCGTTTCACCTCATTTTTGTTTCCGCTGCTTTTGAAATTAATTATTTCGTTGGTTTCGAAAGCTTTTACCACCAGTTCAGTGCATTTGTTTCATTGTTATTGTTTCATACGTTACTTTTATGCATGGTTTCAGGGTTTCAGTTGTTTTTCAGCTATTAATGAATTAGTACTGTGTAGAAGTTTTGGAAATTATGCACATGAACATGTTTGGGTGGCAGAAGCTGTTGCTTCCAGTTTATTCGTTGACTGCCGTTATTGTTGCTGGCTCAGTTGCTTACTTAACACGTAGAAATCTGGAAAAAAATCTCCTTCACGTCCATGTTTACAGCATGCAACAATCTGCGAGTGAGTCTGGTAAAGAGAGTACGATCAGCGTTGATATTAGCAGAGCTTTCGAAGAACAAATTAAACCTGGAAAATTTAGGACCTGAGATGACGTTGAAAAAGCCTTGAAGCTTTTTGAGAAGGTGAGCATAGTATCAGTGTATCTAATATCAGTTAACAAACACCCGATTTATTGTGAGAGAATCTAAATAAAACAGGGATGAGCCACATGTAAAGTATGAATATATGGTGTTTGTATGTACTTTTGGACAGAAAACTAAATCCGTAGGTAATCACATCCACCTTAAAATGTAAGTTACCTGTGGTTTTTAATGTCTTATGGAGTTGATCTAAATACATTGGTTGCCAGTCAATGATACGCATACATATTCCGGCATACTCTGTTAATTTCGACAGTTAGGGCTGCAAACTAGGTATCCTGTTGTCCACCACTCTTATCCTAACATCTCGTTCTCCATCAATTCTTCGCAACCTCCTGTCACTCTACCGGCACACCTCCCACATACACTTCTGTAGAGGAACACCTCTCAACACATTCCGTTTCATCAATCTGCGCAAACTTTCAACGCTATTGTTAGTGTTATTGCCGAGTGACGAAACACTGTGGTTGAATGCTGCTGCCCATAGTTTCTTCAAAGGCAGCCAGTGTCCGTGTATATACCCCCAAAAACGGGGATCCGGATGCCGTATGATACCGAGATATTCTTCCATTGTTTTCATCTCGAATTATAACCAACTTCCCAGCTTGATGTAATCAAGAAAAAACCACTGACAGTAAATCACAATCTGAAAGGTTATTCTTGTCAGTCAAAGTCTTACGTTCAACTAATGTCCTCTTTAACTTTATAAATCAAAGTTGCTCACTAAAGTTGTAGCTATAGGAGATTGTCTTAGGCGGAAACCATTTTAAGGTAGCTATGTAGCTTTGAATAATGCGCCATAGAACTAACTAGCATATGTTAACTGCGTATAAATATATTAAACGTTGTAAATAAAATTAATTAAATATGCCCTTGAGAAGAAAACGCAGGATATCTGCACGTTTTTTAGGAATAAGGCCAGGCAAACAATCCGGACCTAGGCTGCAAGAAGGGTTCGTCGACTGGAGACAGTTTACAATGTCATTTGTATTGAAATCAAGGAAGCAACTCTTAATAACAATAATTTTTATTTCTGGAACAGAAACCAGCCATTTTTACAGGCATGAACATATGTACACTAATTAGAACTTATAGAATATATATGATTTGTTAATCTAGAAATAGATTGAATACTAGTAAATTTGAGAGAAATATTTAAAAAGAAATGTACAAATTAGGCAATAGGCAATTTTCGAGATCTGCTTTCAACTGAATAATTCATGAGATATAGCATCAAATCTTAACTGTAATTGAAAAAATACGGTATATCAATTTCACGCGGGAATACTAATAATTATGATCACTTTATTCCACAACAATAACAATTTACAGCATAGAATTTTCAGCATTCATTTTACATATTGCAATGGTTTCGCTCTGTTTATAATTATATAAATGTATGAAATGTTAAAAATATTGATAATTAATGGGAAAAAAAACCCAACAAAATCACACCATTGGTAGATCATAGTGAAATAAAAAATAAATAATATAACAAATCACACATGCAATAATATGCATCATTACATTTTATAGTTTAGTTAATGATTTAAAAGTTGTAAAAGTTCTTTTCTGATATTTGTCTCTTCACACAATACTCGTGCCAAATATGGTGCGGTCGAATTTTTATATTTTGTCGTACGACCTTAAATGCTTATGAAATTTCTTCTGGTCTTACCCGAAGAGATACAAGGAAACAATTTTAAATAAAGAGGATGTTCACTATCAGACAAGATAACTTTAGCCAAGTGTTTACAAGAATTCATATGCCTATTGACACCAGTGTCGGTTAGTTGAGTCAAAGGGATAGCACTGACCCTACTTCCAGCCTTCAATGTTCTTCGTAGTATTATATTATCTTTCTTGAGTAGCCCAGGGAAGAATAATGGAGAACAATAAAGAATGATGAAAAAACACACGAATTAATAAATTGTATGGGAAGAGGTTGGGTTATACCTGAGTGCCCCAACTTCTTTATGTAATAAGTCAGACAGAAAATCTTTTTAGAAACTATAAGAATATGAGACGACCAGCAAAGGTTAGAAGAGAAACTAATGCCAAGATAAGAAACACTTGACTTACTCTCTGTCATGTTACCATCAATATTATAACAATCATGAGATTGGATCAATCCTTGCATGTCTTTTTCACTTCTCAAGCTGAAATCAACAGTATTACATTTAGTTGGATTTAGTTTAAGACAATTTGAGCCAGACTAATCCTTAACTTCAGCTAAGAAGCCATTCATATGGGAACAATCCGATGTGGAAACTACTGTGAAACAGAAACGGACAGAGCATCAGCATACTTAATGAAGTTAACTTTGGGTGAGTTCGGAAGGTCATGGAAAAAGAAATAGAAAAGAAATGGAGAAAGTACTGCACCTTGAGGCACACCACTTTCAGCTAGTTGAGAAGTGGAGCGCTTTCCAGCCAGAACAGTGTGCTGTTTCCTATCCTTAAAATAAGACAGGCATCTAGTTGCCCAGAACTCTGTTTGTGCTGAAATCATCTTTCCCGATGAAAGTGTCCTAGGAACAGAGTCGAAAGCTGCAGTATAG